ACTTTGGTGTTCCATACAGAAAAGTTGCAAAGTAAATAAAAAAGAAAACAGGAAAGTTAAGTAAAGCACAAAGTATCCTGAATTGATTTACAGAAGTAAATGATTCAGTAAATAAATAAACGCTCCCAAAAGTTACAACAACGCAGAAGCCCAAACCGGAAGTTGCGCGTATGAACTTTTATTTTGAAAGCGGTGAATTGGCTCTGACGGCTGTGGAGGCTCGAAATGTTCCTCGCCTTTCTGCAGGACGGATAACCGAAGTTGTTGCTTTATTTGACCGTCAGCTGTCTGTGTCCGGATCTAAGCTTTAAATAAAACATGGATTTAAATGTTAGTCCTCCGCTAACAGGTTAGTAAGCTTTTCTCTGACACACCTGAGCTGCTAACAAGAAGTAAAGTAAGTGATTGTGTTTCAGGGAGCAGTGGACAAACTTCTGTTCTCTTTTTGTCAGAAAACAGAGGTTCATCAGAGTCAGCAGCAGACGGTCCAAGAAGAGGAATGAGTAAAACCCAGATTCTTACATTAATATCTATGGCTTCTGTTAATTTCAGCTCAATGATCTGTTACTCCATATTAGGCCCATTCTTCCCCAATGAGGTAAGTTAAGTGTTTTAAACTTCATTCAAGTCAAAAGGTCAACTTGTATTCATAGTATTTAATGTATTTAGTGTGATTCAAACTGTGCCATTAAAATGCTCCATAATGTAAAAGTTTATAATAATGATAAAAGTTGTGTTAGGTGCCATCCTGTCATTATTGAACATGAATAAACAATAAAAACCACAATGATAAAGGTTTATAGTTAAAACATAAATCCTTCAAAGAACCAAATCTTTACCTAAACTGCATATTTATGTTTAATCAGGCTGTTAAATCCCAGTACAGTGTGTAGGGTTGGGCAATATTGGCAAAAAAATAAATCACGATTAATTGTGGTATTTAGCCGATAACGATTAATTTGACGATGAATCCCCTGGAGTCCCTGGACACCCTTGTATCCTGGTCACATGACCAGTTTATAGGGAGAAAATTGGCTCTTCGTAAAAATCTGTTCCAAATTGTGTCAAAATTACAGATTTCAGGCTACACATCAAACTTTAAATTGTGTTGATAGATAAATAAATTACACAATTTTTTTTAATGTTGGTCATATTTGAATCAGAGGAACACCAAGTCTGCCAGGTGGCATTAATCGTATTAATTAACTGCCAAAAACTAATCGATTAATGTTTTTCTGACGATTAATTGCACACGATACGATTATGCCCAACCCTAACAGTGTGTTAGCAAAATATCCTGGGACATTAACTCTGTCGGGTATATTTGCTCTCCAGTTTTCTGTGTCAAACTTGTGTGTCCACTTAAAGTCCAGGGATTCTAATGAAAAGCTTTTCATTCACTCTTTATGTGTCTGGAAGTCATAATAAAACTTGTAACCATCTCAACATCAAACTGTAAAATGCTGACATGTTTCTTCTGACTGTAGTTATGTTCTCCCTCCGTCTGCACATTCTGTCAGAGTTTATGAAATGATGAAAGCCTAAAAATGACTTGTTGACTGTGGTTTCATAACCACAATTATCAAAAACGTTTGTATCCTAAAGACATAAAAACAACACAAAGTCACAGAAAAAATTTAAAGACAAGGAAATCATATTTCCTGCTTTTTTAATTTTGGTGGAGTTAAAGCATAAACAAAAACAACTCTGCAGTATGAAAACCGTACACGTCATGTTGTGCAGATTGTCAGTAATTTATACGGATCTTACATCATTTTGCAGGTATCTAGACGTATAGAGCAATCTCAAGCATTTTTTCAAGTTTTACAGATTTTTTCAAACCCTCTGTTTCAAACTTATTAAACATGCCAGAGCCTGTAGGATGTGAAAAACAATAAATAACATCAAACAACCAGCTCCCAACCTGCTCTGCAGCCGTACCCCCCCCCCCC